TAACGTGTGCCAGTCACTGTTTTAAGCTCAGAAGATGCAGCAAGATTGAAAAGGATTTTTATTAAAGGTCATGGAGTCCAGCTCCTATGAATTCTTGTTTACTGGATCTTTTTTTTTCTGAGTTTTTTGTTTAACTGGAGAGAGTACTCATTCTCCTGTGTCTCCTGTAAAGTTTGTAGTTTATCTTTAACCTTCTCACTGCAGTTTCTTCTTGTCTTGAGTAATTTATTTTGTAGGCTGGCAGAGATCCTCATATATTATTATTTTTCAAGTATCTACTTCGTTTCTGTTTGTCTTGAACCGTGAACATTTTGTAGGATGTGCAGCTAGGAAACTTGCTGGTGCCACTGGTTAGATAAGGCTAAGCTTCCATTCCTTAGCCCTCACTGGTTAACTACAAGCATGTTTCAGAAGGCTTAACATTGTAAATTGATTTAAAAAAATAAGCACAGCCTCAGCTTACATTAAAACCTCGAAACCCTTTTTTTTGGTTTAGTTCTGTTGATTTCAACCAGACTACAAGCTCTTGGAAGGCAGCTGTATCTGATTTATCTTTATATCCCTCCCCAGGACCAAGTTCTGTCTGCATGAGGTGGATGATCAGTTCATGTTTGTTGAATGAAATAACTTTCCTGTGATTTTAAGCCATCTCTGTCTGCACTTACTGGATGGCCATTGTCCCTTTCTTAATAGCACATTACTGTATCTTAGTCACTGTGGTGCCTGGTACTGCCTATGCCATGTTTAGTCTATATTTAAGAAACTATTTAATGTATCAATTATATATCAGTGTGGATGTTGGTAGCGTTTTCTCTCTGGATATATAACCAATATTCAATAAATTTGCCTTGAGGCTTGAGTTTATTAATTCACATGACCACTTTTCCTGCAAGCAAAATTTGCTTTAGGCTTCTGTATCCCACTAAAACAGACGGTGCTGAACTGGCGACTGGCGACCAGCGACCAACGTGGTCTTTGCCCTCGACTTTTCACTAATGTTTTGATTTGGAAACGTCCGTTTTCAGTCCTTGTCCTCCCCTGCAAAACTGATCCTGGCAAACGCCTGTAACTCTGCCATGCTCACTTGCACTCCCACTGTTCCTAGTCCTGCTTCTCCTTGTTTTGCTTTTATCTAAAAATAGTTTTTAAATACTGGTAACTTGTGTTTAGTACTCTGTTGGGAAAGAAATAATAACTTTACCTATTGTGTAAGTATTACTAGGAAATTTTCAAATGTGTTTTTTGTTTTTGTTTTTCCATTTGCAGCCTAGAGGCACCCGAAAACATGGTGCATCCTTTATCATCACGAAAGCAATTAGGGGTAAATATAGTTTATTTTTCTACATATAATGGTATAGTTAGCAGATAATTTTTTCCCATTCATGTTTTTTCCTATTCATAACTGCTGTTTTAGGAAGTTTAGGGATTTGAAAATGTGTTCTTTTGACTTCTAATGTAGCGCCTGATTAAAAGTGAATAGCATAAATGTTACCTAAGTTTTATTTTATAAAAAGTCTATTTT